CTGCGGGGGTCTGGGCACATCGTGGAAGTCCAGAACCTCCGTTTCCTCATCTGTGAAGACATGCCGGCCTTGTGGCACTGGAAGGCGCTCAGTCTGTGTGCGGCCCCGCCCGAGAGGCAGGCATGCGTGTGAAAGTGCTTGTAGCTGTTAAATGGATCGACTGGTGGGGGCTAGAGCTGGGGGGAGGGCCGGATGCTGAGGGGACTTTTGCTGTCCCCCCAGGACTACCTCTTGAAGATCATTGACACGCCCGGGCTGCTGACGCCAGAGCAAGTCAGCGCCCTCTTTGGGAACATAGAAAGCATCTACGCGCTGAACAGGTATGTTTCGTGAGGGGCCCTGGGGTGCCTCGGCTTCTGCCTGCAAGCGAGGCCCAAAGCAGAACCCCAGGGGAGTCGTGGATGTCCCTGGGCTCGCGCTGTGGCTCGTGGGTCAGGCCTGGGCCCGGAGGGGCGGACAGAGCCACTGGCCCCTGGACAGCAGTAAGAGTGGCTTCCCTGTGAGGGAAGGGGACGGACGCCAGTGGCCATCTCAGAGGGGGTGGGAGGGGACAGAGGCTGCCTGTGACTCAGGCCGCATGTCCTCTCGGGGGACGACTGGACCTTTGCCCACTGTTGCTCTCCCCATGGCTGGTTCCTTTGCCACCATCCTCTTCCTTCCTCACTTGGGTGGCTCTTCATATCGCCCCCATCCCCCCAGCCCCTGAGAAGCTGGGGTGGGTTCCCCGGGGATGAGCTTACCCGCTGAGGCGATGGGATGTACAGTCCAGACCCACTGGGCCGCCGTGAGCGGCGAGGCTGAGCAGGGCTCAGGGAGGACCTGCCATAGGCAGCGGGGGTTCCCGCCTCACACCACAGTCCCCCACCCCTAGGGACAGGGAGCTGGGGTCAGAGGGAAGAGCCAGAGAACCTCCTGCTGTGCACTTCTCAGGGGACGGAGGGACCAGTGGGGGCCAGAGGCGGAGGCAGGGGAGCAGGGTGTCTAGAGCTTCCTACAGGGCCTCACCCCATCTTTCGCCCTTCCCACTTCCTGCTGAACTGGGGGTCTCGGTTTCTCTGCACGCCCTTTCTCTTTCCCTCCCCTCCTTTAATTTTTGCTTTTGTGTGTTTGACTCCTATCTGCAGAGGAACTGTGTCCCCTCCCCAGGTGGGTACTGGTGCGTGCTCCTCCTTCCCGGCTTGTGAGCACATGCCCCTCCCGTGGTTGCCCCCCCCCCTTTGCAGTGGTGCGCCGTGTTTTCTGTAGGGGTTGCCACGGGACAGGGCTTGCACCCGCAGAGCAAGCCCCACCTTGAGCATGACAGCAGCGTTGGCCGTGTGTTGTCTGCGCATGAGGAGGAGGTGGCGGGTGGGGGGGCGAGATCGGGGTGGGGTGGAACCTACCATCTGTCAGAGGCTGATGGTCGCCTACTCTCCCCTCCCCCAGCCAGCTCCTCAGAGACCTGGACAGCTGTAACAGTGACCCCGTGGCTGTGGCCAGCTGCTTTGTAGAGAGGGTAAGAAGGGCGGGCGCTGTCGCCTTGTCCTGTCTCCCTGGGAGTGCAGAGGGTCAGGGACTAGGAGTAGCGTATGCTTTAAGAGCACCCCAAGTCCTGAGTATCCCTCTCCAGGGGAAGGGTATTCTGGGGTAGAACCAGGGGCTACTGTGTGTTGAGCCTTGCAGGGGTGAGGGGTGAGGGGTGAGGGGTGGGTGTGGGTGCGCAAAGTGTGCTCAGGAGGGCAGGGGTACGGTCCGTCTTTGCAGTCACCAGGCTGACGGCTAATTGGGAGCGTCCCTGAAACCACCCTTTTGGGTCTCTCCTAGAGCCAAGAGTTTGACATCTACACCCAGTATTGCAACAACTACCCCAAGTGAGTAACCGGGTGGGCGGTGGGGCCAGAGCCACTAGGTGAGCCTGTGGTGCCCCTGCTCCCAGCCTGGTCCAGGTAGTGAGGGCTCCCTCCCGCCCCCAGCTCTGTGGCCACTCTGACAGAATGCATGCAGGACAAGCAGCAGGCCACCTTCTTCCGGGATCGCCAGGAGCTGCTGCAGCACTCCCTGCCTTTGGGCTCCTACCTGTTGAAGCCAGTCCAGCGCATCCTCAAGTACCACCTGTTGCTCCAGGTAGCATGAGGATCCTTGCCCCCGGGGGACCCTGGGGGTGGGGCTGGGCTTGGGTCCACCTTGAGTCTGGGTTGCCTAAGCCTGGTCTCCTGCCCAGGAAATCGCCAAACACTTTGACGAAGAGGAGGAGGGCTTCGAGGTGGTGGAGGACGCCATCGACACCATGACCTGCGTGGCCTGGTACATCAACGACATGAAGAGGCGCCATGAGCATGCAGTCCGGCTCCAGGTGCCGCCGGGCTCCCGGGCGGGGAGGGAGGCTGGGACTGGCCGTCCTGATCATGGTGGGGGTCTCTGGTGGGGGTGGGGGGGGTCCCCTGGCTGTGACTGGCTTTGTGTGGGCCCCTTGGAGAGAGCCACAGGTGGTCCAGCAGGGTCCTGCACTGCCTGACCCCAGGGTGGGGCCTTCCCTGCGCAGGAAATCCAGTCCCTGCTCATCAACTGGAAGGGCCCCGACCTGACCACCTACGGGGAGCTGGTCCTGGAGGGCACCTTCCGTGTGCACCGGGTGCGCAACGAGAGGACCTTCTTCCTCTTGGACAAAGCGCTGCTCATCACCAAGAAGCGGGGCGACCACTTTGTCTACAAGGGGCACATCCCGGTAAAGCAGACCTCTCCCCTCTCTACACCCGGGCTGGCGGGCTCTGCTTGCCCAGGTGGGCCTCGTGCCAGTCCCCCAACCCCATGCTTACCCTCCCGCTCCCTCTGCCCCCAGTGCTCCTCCCTGATGCTGATTGAGAGCACCCGAGACTCCCTGTGCTTCACCGTCACCCACTACAAGCACAGCAAGCAGCAGTACGGCATCCAGGTGAGCGGGACGCAGGGCTGCGACGGGACTTCCCAGCCAAGCACACCTGTGGGGAGGGAGTCCCAGTTCCTCCCACTGCCACCACCGCCCTGGCACTGTCCTGGGCACCTCTGGAGAGAAAGAGCCAACTGGATGTGGTCCCCTGGGAGTTGAGCCCAGCCCCTTCCTCCTCCGCCCCCCCCACCCCTTGGCACAGTCACTCCCTGCTGCACTGCCTCTGGCCTGGCCTGTAAGGCTGACCCCGGCTTCCTCCCTTTCGGGTGCGCCCAGGCCAAAACCGTGGAGGAGAAACGAAACTGGACCCACCACCTCAAGAGGCTCATCCTGGAGAACCACCACGCCACCATCCCCCAGAAGGTGAGCTCCGGTGGGGGGGTGCCTGCCCCATTCCTGATGGGGTGCAGGGAGATGCGCCTGCTGGACGCTGGACGTTGACCAGTGGCAGGCAGTACAGTGGGTGTCTCAGGGCCCAGCCCAGCCCTGTGAGTGTCCTGGAGCATCAGGCTCACTCGCGGCGGCTTGTGGGCCGAGGAGGCCCGGCACCCAGCACGGTGCTAACAGTCGGTCACCTTCCTTCCCAGGCCAAGGAAGCCATCTTGGAAATGGATTCATAGTGTAAGTGTGCCTCTCTCTCTGCCGGTTTTGCCCTTCCTTGTGCCCACCTCTAGGCTAGGCTGCATCCGGGGACGTCTTCCTGGTACTCCTTCTCCAGGCAGGAAGACAGCAAGGGTGCCTCTTGCCAAGGGCTGGGGGTGTACCACAAGGCTGGTGACATGGGTGGCAGGGGGACAACTCTCACTGCTGAATGCCCCCGGGCAGAGCTAGGGTGGGGAGCCGAGGTGTGGTGGGAAGAGGCAGAGCCTGGGCAAAGCCAGTTGTTGGCACTCAAAGCCCAGTGGTCTCTCCTGTGTGCAGATCCCAACCGGTACCGCTGCAGCCCAGAGCGGCTGAAGAAGGCCTGGTCTTCCCAGGACGAAGTGTCCACCCACGTGCGTCAAGGGCGCCGGCAGTCCGGTAAGGGAAGGGCCAGGGTGGCCAGAGGCCTCTTCCTGGGGTTCTTGACGAGGCAGGCGGGGGACATCTGAAGCCCCATCATGGCTGCTGCTCCCACTTTAATGGGCATCCTGGGAAAGGGCGGTGGGGGGTGACTCGGCGGACCCCTATGCAGCACAGTACCTATGCTGGCCTCCGGTAGTCACCTCTGGGCCTTTTTGTCCATTGAGGTTGGACAGCCCACCGTTTTCAAGCCTCAAGCTCCTTGCTTACTTCAGTGTGGGGAACCCCTGGGTGGCTCCTCTTAGTCCGAAGCCCCTGCTCTTACCACTCAGATACCCGGTCAGCCGGGAGGGAGGCCTGGGCTTCGTGCAGGGTGCCCAGCCTAGCTCTGGCCAACACATCGGACACAGGACTTGAGAACAACAAGTTAGTCTTCAAGATGGCACCAAACCCAGACAGGAAATATTTACTTTGGGTCTCAGGACAAAGTTCCCATTTCCTCGCCGGGTTTTCTTCCATTACTAGCTTGCTCCTCGGGCCATTGGAATGAAGCGTCTATTTAGAACGAGCAGCACTTGCTTTTATCCCTAGTTCTTATGATGAGACGCGGATGGGTTTTCTGATTGGACTCTCCCGTCTGGTCTGAGGTCCAGGGACGGATTTGGCCTGAGCTGAGTGCCTGCCAAATGCAGTGGGGGGTGAGGTTAGGTGAGGGCAGGGACTGACCCGTGTCCTGGCTTTGATCGGACACAACCTGCCTATCCCTTCGACCACTGAGTGGACTCACATTTGGGCTCTGGTCTTCTGGAAGGTGGCGCTGAGCGCTCTGGGAAGGTTTTGTTTGGCTTGGCATTGCTCTGCGGGAACTTGAACCCTAGGCACACTTGCCCTGCTGGCAAAGCCTTGGTGCCGTGTGTGCAAAGCCCTGGTGCCGTGTGTGCAAAGCCCTGGAGAGGGAGCGGGTGCTGCGCTCGAAGTCCCTGGCCCTCTCTCATCCTCGGTTTCCCTTCGTCTCCGAGTCTTTCCGACCTCTCTAACGCCTCTCCTCTCACTTGGCGATCTTAGAATGGGAAGCTTCTTGCCCACGGGAGTGTTCACAGGAAGTGGGCGCGGTCATACTGCCGACGTCACAGCCAGGGCATCAGCACCAGCTCCCCGGGCACCCAGGGCGCGGGAGATGCCTTTCCCATGCACGTCCCAAAAGCCCCGCTTCCCTTTTCACCATTATGAGACAGGCGTTTTTCTCAAATGGAGTTCATCCTTTAAAGCCCTGAAATGAACAGATGAGCGTTCCTTTCTTTTCTTACGGCAGCCGTCACCGCGATGGCTTTGCAGGTGATTTCCGCAGTTGGTCTCCCCTTTCCTGGAGCCAGCCCTCAGCACCCCTCATGGGCGTGCTGGCAGATTCTCCAGGGCCCCAGGAGGGGCTGCAGGCTTTACAGAGACTGTTTGCAGGCCAGCTGAGGTGTGCCCTCCCCACTCCCCGCCTTTCCAGCTCTTCCCTAACATGGTGAAGGGTCCACTCTCACTGGGCTTAGCGAGTTTGCCCCTCGAATCCATCGGCCTTGCGGTCACTGTGGCTCAGAGTACACTGGGCGCTCCCGGGCCCGGACTTAGCCAAGCAGCCTTTTCTGCTTCCTCCTCCCGGAGAACTAAGGTGCACTTAATAAGGCATTGCTATTCCATGAATTGTGATTTGGAAAACGTATTTCTGGTTTCAAGTTGGGAAAGTGAAAGAGTAGAGCAATTTCCTTTTTTTTTTTCACCCTTTAACAGCAGTTGGGTATTTGTATTGATGCAAACTGTGTGTGTGGACGTGTGTGCAGGTATGCATGCTCGTGTGGGCGCATGACTGTTTTCTCAGCAGGAAAAAGGTTCTTTGTTCCGTTCTGCCTAGGAACCGCTAAGGAGACATCAGTGGGCTTTCCTTATATAGAACATGGGGCTATCCCTGGGTCCCCCTCCTTCCCGGCCAGAGAGCTCTGTAGAGGGGGGACTTCTCATCACCTATGTATGTCCTCTTGTCCCTGCCAGCCATCTCGGGCCTGTCCCTAGAAAGGCTGGGGTAAAGGTGACACTGTGAACCTAATGGATGTGTTTTGTATCCTGTCCCCAGAACCTGGTCCGCCCCTGTACAGCCGGGCAACACTCCCCAGCGGGCAGCGAAACTTCCTGGTGCCAGGCCTTAAGGGCCGTAGAAAGTCGGGTGCGAGTTCTGCATCCCAGCCGGGGTGCTGCGAGGGGCTTGGCGATGGGTGCAAGCCAGCCTGCTGACGTGCTCGGTGCAGCAGGGAGGCGGGGTTCATCTGCAGGGGGCTCCTGGGCGCCCCTGGCTGAGATATGCTGGTGCAGGGCTTGTGGGCAGGCCTCTTCCAGGTCGGGGGCCCGAGCGGAGGCAGAGGGGCTGTGCAGGGCAGCTCCTCTCAGGCCCCAGAGCTGCTGGGAGCCAAGCGGGAGTGGACTTTGAGCTGGTGAATGGCTGGTAGTGCTGCGAGCTTGGGACCCTGGCCAGCACAGCTCTTTCCTGACTCTGCCGAACTCTTTTTTCTCCTCAGAACCAACCAGGCACCTGCTCAGGCAACTCAGTGAGAAAGGTAGGCGAGGGATGGGAGGAGCCTGATAACCATTACCAGTCAGGTCTCAGACTCAGGTCTGACGGGGGTGTCCCCATCCTGCCTGGTTCCCTCTGTTAGGAGAGGGGGACATGCGTTGAGCCGGCCTCTCCCCTCACCTCATACCCCCTTCTCAGCCCTCCCCTCAGACGCTTAGGAGGCTGGGTGAGGACCCTGGGGCTAGGGGTCCAGAGGAGACCTCTTTCGCTTGCTTATTGGCTTTTCCCCTCCCCTCTCCCCCGTACCGGGGACTGATGGTGGTGTCAACAGCCAGAGCCACAGGAATCAAGGTAAGGCCAGTGGGTGCCCGGGGCCAGGGAGGAGGGCCTGGAGGAGGGAGGTGGGCAGACTTCTCTCGGCCCCTGCTGCCCCCACGGTCTTCACTGGACACGTACCTGCCAAGCACCAGGCTCTAGAGATGGCTGTGACTTGACCCTGACCCTGTTGACCCTTCTGTACCCTTTTCCTGGAACAGCACCCTGGTGGGGGAGTCTCCCAGCCTCAGACCTTCTCTCCCCTCTGGGGCAGGCAGGACTGTAAGGGGCTTTGAGTTCCTGGCCTCCTCCTCACCGATCCTGGTGGAGACCAGGGCCTGGGTGCCTAGATGCGGTGTCCGCGGGCAGGAAGAGGGAAGGTTGCCCCGAGGTCCGTCACAAGGGGATCTTGTGCTCTGAACAGCATGCGGGCAGTGCCGGCACACTTCTGGACTTTGGGCAGCTACCCCGTACTCGGGGCCTGCAGCCAGAGGCTCACGGGGCTGCCCAGGAGGAACAAGAGGAGGAGGAGGAGGAAGAGGTGGTGGAGGAGGAGGAGGAGGAGGAAGAGCAGGCCTTTCAGGTCTCTCTGGAGGACCTGGCTGGGCATGAAGGCGGCATGAAGGGGGCCGGGCCGGAGCCCCTAGGCTCAGAGGAGGAGGAGGAGCAGGAGGAAGAGAGCCTGGCTGTGGCGGAGCAGGTAGCCGACTTCGCCAGCTCCCTGCTGGCCGCCCTCCACTGCTGGCACTATCGGGCCAACGCTTTACTTTTCTCCCGGGGCGCTATGGTGAGAGGTGTCTCTTTGATCTTCCCTTCTCCCTGCATGTCCCCTGGCACGTGCATGCCTCAGTACCCCCGACCTTGCTCCTGCCCCGCCCTCCCCCTCTGGTTCTTGTACTCCTCCATCAGCATTCTTACCCCCCTTGCTCACTGCCATGCCCCAGTAAGCCCCTGGCATGCGCTGCTCCAGACCTGGGTGCTAACCAGTGTACTGCCTGATGAGCATGCCTAATTGGGAGGGGGGGAGGGGGGTCCAGGCCACTTGGCTGGGAGGGAAGGTAGGGGCTGGGCCTTTCCAAAGCGTTCAAGAGTGCCACCCAGGGGAGGGATTTCTGCAGCCCCAGGCCTCTCTGTCCAGTTGGAGGCTGACTCAGCCGAGCCCAGGGCCTGCCTCGGGGCAGGGACATGGCTCTGGTGTTGGGGGCAGAGGAGCTGGGCTCCTGTGGCCCTGTTGCTGCTGCCTAACCCGTCTCTGTGTGCTGCAGGGGAAGGGGCGCAGGGAGTCTGAAGGCTCTAAGGGCTACAGAAGGCCCAGCAGCCTCTCCCCAACCAGCAGTGAGAAACGCATGAGCTTCCAGTCCGTCTCTTCCCTGCCAGAGGTGAGGCTGCTGAAGAGGGGGAGGGAGGTGGTGCTGATGTACCTGGAACCCAGACCTCTGGGCCTGCAGGTTCTCCAGTTGAGCCCCCTGGGAGCCCTGTGAGGGCTATAGGTGACAGCTTGGTGAGCAGACAGTTCCATTCTCAGAACTAGGAAACCCTCTGGGTTCAATTCTGTGCCAAGGGGTGCAGCCGGTGGAAGGGAGCTAGATGCCAGGCCTCTCTTGCTGGACTTCTTGTACGGGACATAGGCCCTGCCCTGCCAGCAGGCCAGACAACAAAAACCCACCTCTGCCCACTTGGACAAAGAGGGAGGGTGCTGCTCTCCATTGGACACTCCTATACATCCAGCGTTTATGCCTCCTGCCCCTGGAAGGGGTGGGGGTGGAGGGGGCCTGCAGCAGGGGCAGGCAGGGTGCAGAGAAGTTGAGTGATTTCGCTGATTTGGGGCAGCTTCTGAATGGTAGGTAGACTGGGGTCAGACTTGAGTCCAGGACTCAGAAATCCTCTCCCTCCCTGCCACCCCACTCAGCCTGTGGGTTACAGGGAAAAGCCATGAGGCTAAGACGAGACCCCAGCTGGACCCCCTCAGCCAGGACAAGGTGAGAGAACCCTAGGTGATGTTGGAGAAGATTCTGAAGCAGTGTTCTCCAGTGGTCACAGGATGCAAACCCCCTGTGTAATTTAAAGCACCCTAAGGGCCACATTAAAAGTGTCCAAAGGAGCAGGTGATTTTGTAGTATATCTTACCTGTCCCAGTGCATCCAGCTTCGTACCATTTTGACAGGTAATCATTAGGAAACGTTTGCATCTCTGGGGTAGGGTCTGTGCCGTCTGGTGTGTGCTTGCCTGCTAGAGCAGGCCTCCCAGTAGCAGCCAGAGCCACGTGACTGCATGAGACCCCGTGGGACGGGCTCTGACTCCTCAGGGTTCAGGGTGCTTGCTTTTGTCTTCTCTTCGGAGACCTGGGCCGCAGCCACTTTAGAGTTCAAATCACCTTCCTCCGGCTGCGTAGGCAGACACTCCCGACGCCGCCCCTGGTGGAAGCCAGATCCGTAGGCCTCTCCCTCTGACAGGATTGCAGACTGTGTTTGCATTGCCTTCGGGATCCTGCTGGGAAGCCGGGACCCCACCGCTCATGCCCTCAGCCTCGGGTTGGAACCCAGAAACCCCCATGTGGGAGCTTCAGGGAGCTGCCTTCGCAGCAGGCAGAAGGAGCCCCTGTGCCTTGGCTCTGCAAGATGGGGAGCCCCGAGCCTGTGTGTCCTCATAGCTCCCAGGCAGTAGCATGCTATGGAGAGTGGCTGCCGCCCTCCTCCATCTGTGCTCCTAGGATTTCCCTTGGGTTTGAGGACATAGCCTAGGACCCCAACTGTAGGGGACTAAGGACCCGTTGCCCACTTTGGAATTATGGCTGCTTGGGGTGGCTTGCTCCTGAGCTGCAGCCCCTCTCTCTGGCCTTTGAGTAGGCCACACCATTTCCTCACCTTCCGATCCCACGAGGAGAGTTTTCTGCTCATATGAGCTCTCTGTGCTGTGTCCCAGGTGGAGCGAGACCTGGAGCCAGGGCCAGAGAAGGAGGTATTCACCGAGGTGGAAGGTCCGAGCACCGAGGAGATGCCCTCTGGCACAGCGTCTCCGGAAGTTCTGGAGACCCCGCTTGAGGCCCACCAGGCACTGCTGGAGCTGGACCAAGTGGCCGACATGGCGGACTTTGGAGTGGCCCAGAGTTCTGAGGACCTTAAGGCCTTGAGCAGTGAGGAAGAGGAGGAGGAGGGTCTGGGAGCCAGCCAGGAGCCCGAGAGCCTCCTGCCGCCCTCTGTGCTGAACCAGGCCAGCATCATCGCCGAGCGCTTCGGCAGCAGCTTCTCCCGGCGGAGCAGCCTGGCTCTGGAGGATGGCAAGTCCAGTGGCTTCGGGACCCCTCGGCTGGCCAGTCGCAGCAGCAGTATGCTCAGTCTCGAGGGCAGTGAGAAGGGCCCGGCCCGGTCGGCCAGCGTCCCAGACCTGCTCAGCTCCCAGCTCCCCGAGGAGGAAGTGGACACCAGCGTGGGGGCGGCCCCAGAGAGCAGCCCACCCGTCAACGGCACAGAGCCCCTGAGTCCAGGCTGCCCGGCTGAGCCGGACCGGCCCCCCTGCAAGCAGAAGGACTCGTCACTGTCCACCCGTGACCGGCTCCTGCTGGACAAGATCAGGAACTACTACGAAAACGCGGAGCATCACGATGCGGGCTTCAGCGTCCGGCGCCGGGAGAGCCTCTCCTACATCCCCAAAGGGCTGGTGAGAAACTCCGTGTCCAGGTTCAATAACCTGCCCAGGCCAGACCCGGAGCCCGTGGCTCCCCTGGGGCACAAGAGACAGACGGGGTCCCGGCCAGCTTCCTGGGCCCTGTTTGAATCGCCAGGAGCAGGCCAGGCACACCCCGGGGACCCGGCCCCCATCACGGACGCCGAGTTCCGCCCGTCTTCAGACATGGTGAAGCTGTGGGCGGGCACGGGCTCTCCCGGGGGCAGCCCTCAGAGGGGCCCGGCCCCGGCGAACGGCTTTGACCCTCACGCGCCGCTCTTCATCCTGGAGGACCATGACCTGGGCGCCATCACGGAGGAGTCGGCCACGGCCTCCCCCGAGAGCGCCTCCCCCACTGAGCGGCCCAGCCCAGCCCACCTGGCCCGGGAGCTGAAGGAGCTGGTGAAGGAGCTGAGCAGCAGTGGCCAGGGGGAGCTGGTGGCGCCCCTGCACCCCCGCATCATGCAGCTGTCCCACATGATGGACAGCCACGTGAGCGAGCGTGTCAAGAACAAGGTCTACCAGCTGGCCCGTCAGTACAGCCTCCGCATCAAGAGCCACAAGTCGGCCATGGCCAGGCCGCCGCTGCAGTGGGAGAAGGCCAGGCCAGAGAGGAATGGGGGGGCACCCCCGGCCCCCTGCCTGCAGGAGGAGGCCGAGGAGCCACTGGGCCGCAAAGGTACGGCTTGGGCCAGGGATGTCCCTTCCTTCACGTTGGTGGGGGTCGGGTGGGGGAGGGCAAAGGCCAACTGGGCATCTGTTGGCCCCTGGGTTGAGCACCAGGCAAAGATGAGGCTGTACCCCAAGCCCCTGTGCCGTGTCTCTAGGCCTCCTCACCCTGAAGTGTGCATCCTGGGCTCGCCCTCGCACTGCCAGCCCCCACCCCTCCCATGCAGTGGTCTCCTGTTTTGATTTTTTCTCTTTTTTGTTGTTTTAGTATGAGTAGGTTTATTTTACTTTTTCATTTTTTAATCATTTTATTGGTGCTCTATAGCTCTCACCACATTGCATGCATCAATCTTATCAAGCATGTTTGGCCTATGTTGCCATCATCATTTTCTAAACATTTACTTTCTATTTGAGTCCTTGGTATCAGCTTCCCCCCGCCCCCCACCCTCTTCGTGACCCCTGGATTCCATTTTGCTTTGAGAAGAGGCCACGGGTGGCAGTGAGATATCTCCCGGCCTTGCCCGTGGGGTCCCCAGCTCATGGTGGTCCTCCCAGGGACTCAAGACAGCTCTCTTCCCCCCTCAGGCAGGAGGAAACCCACGCTGTCCCTCCTGGGCTGTGGGCTGGGGATGGACCAGGAGCACAGCCCTCCGAAGCCCCGCTCTGCTGGAGAGACCTCCCCTCGGCGGTGCTCCTTTGCCTTCCCCACCAGCCCCAGCAGCGTCACCTCGCCCACATCCCGGTCCTCGGGCCGGAGCCCCCTCAGCCCCTTCGACACGGAGACCTTCAACTGGCCTGACGTCCGAGAGCTGCGCTCCAAGTATACACCCCACGGGGAGGCACTCCCAGCCGAGGGCAGCCGGCCCCGGGGCGCACCCGTCAACCGGAGCCGCTCGGTGCCCGAGAACATCATGGAGCCCCCTGGCCATGCCCGTGTGAGCCGCTGCAGCAGCCTGAGTGCCCAGAGGGGCCGTGGGGGTGGTGAGGCCGCCCAGTCCCAGCCTCCGGGGGCACCTGACCAGGGCAGACTGGATGGAGAGGAGGAGGCCTTGTATATCTCTGCAGACCTCAGGCTGGAGGACAACCGGCGAGTGGTGGTCCTGGAGAAGGGGCCCCGGCCTGAGGTGCAGCAGGAGGAAGAGGACAGTGGGCCAGGACTGATGGCTGGGGTGGGGTGGGGCCAGGATGGGCAGGTGTCTGCAGAGACTCAGCCAAAGGAAGAGGCATCCCGGGAGCCCGCAGACCCAAGCCAGCAGGGTCGAGTGAGAAACCTGAGGGAGAAATTCCAGGCCTTGAACTCCATGGGCTGACTGTGACTCTGGGGGATAGGAAACGGGAAACCCTCTGCCCACCTCCTCGCATGCCTGGGCCTCCCCGGGCCCGTGGGCCCCTCACATTCTCCTGCCCAGGTGTCTGCCCTCCCCTGCCGCCTGTCTAACAGGCCTGGACCACCTCCCGCAGGCCCACTGTGGCCAGTGTGGCTGGTGCCCCTGTACATCATTCTCCGGGGAGAGGCTGTGTGGTTCAGCTCGCTTTTTCCCAGGGAGTGAGCAGCCTGGCCCAGGCCTCCCACGTTGCGTTGACTGGCCGTCCCCAGGCAGAGGGCCCACCTCCCCGGGGATATGTTCGCCGGTGACCTGCCAGCTTTCCCCTTTTAACTGTGCCTTCTCTTAGCATCCCGGCAGGCATGAGGCCTATAATTTATTGCTTTCCATTCTGTAGTGTGTTTGTGCACCTGGGGCTGTGTGAGAGAAAGAGAGAGAGAGCGAGAGCGCATGTGCTGCGAGTGGTGGTGATTCCTTTCCTTTTGAGAGTGTCAGCGACTCCGTTCAGGTACCTTGTGAGGGTTGTCTGGTGGCTCTGTGGCTGTCTCTAATGTACACACATTTCATTATTTGCCGATGGTGCAATAACCACTGCTGACCAACTGACCTGTGTGTGGCCTGCTTCCTGGTCTGGTGTGGAGGGCGAGCTCCTTGGCCAGAGCGGGGACACATGAGCGGGTCCACCCATGGGCACTCAGTGGACATCCTTGCTCACACAGGGCACTTGGGCACCCATGTGGGAGGTGGGTTTCTGGAAGGAACAACTCCGCTGCTGCCCTCAGACTCTTCCAGTGCTTTGTCTTCCCACAGCCCCGAGGACTTCTTTGGTGTGGGAGCCTTTCGTGCTCTGTCCAAGGACCAGCCTTGAACTTTAAAAGGGGGTGGAGGGGGTAGGGTGTGAAAGAAACATTTCTGTAACGGGCACACATTCCCAGCGCCTGCCTGGTGCCTTGGCTCTCTCCTTGCCTGTTCCCAGACGTTCCAGAAGACGGGTCTCTGTGCAGCCTAGAAACACCTTCTGGTGGTACAGGCAACATGGGTGAAGGCTATACACGTGCATATTTCTGGATTTAGCATACCTTTTCATGTGCATCTCTGAGGAGTCTTTCTTTCAGATGGGTCGGGAATCCGCACTATTTCTCATTGGGTTTCCTGCCCCCTTTTCATGGTGCAGTAGCCTGGTTTGACTCGGTTCTTCCCCCGGGGCTGGTTCTCACAGACCTGGCAGGTCACGGCCCTGGGTCACGCTGAAGGTGGATCCAGTGAGCCTCACCAGAAAGACCAGAGGCACCCAGAGGCTTCCCCCAGCAGATGGTGAGCAGGGCTGAGCCAGCTGGCTGGCGTGTTCTATGGTCACCTCGGCCGTCACAGACAAGAATGACGGATATGCAGTGGAGCACTGGAGTAGGAGTTGGGGACCTGGACTCTCACCAAGCAGCTAGCTCAGTCACCTCAACTCATCCCCTTTCCTCACTCGTAAATCGGCAAGTAGAGGAACCCCCTGCTTCCCAGGCTCCCTGACTCTGACATGGGCCCGTTAGGGCCTTGGAATTTGTACCCAAGCGCCCCCTGCCCAGGTGACCCTGTACGACCATCCAGCTGCGCCAGTCATGGGCTCTCATTGTGGCCCATTTGAGTCATGGGGGGGTGGGTGGTGTTTGAAGAAGGGATGATGTCCTGGCCCCAGCCAGACCAAAGAAGCTTTTCTCTGGAGAGAAGAAGCTCCGGCGTTGGGTTCTGATGGCCCGCTCTCTGAGAAAAGGCATGGTCTCTGTGTCCTGCACGCATCCTCAAGTTGTCTGAGTGCACAAATAAGTGGGCTTTTCTCAGCAGGTACAGGACTTGGGTGCCCGTTGAGTCTTAGGGTACAGGGAAGAGCCAGAGAGCCTGGATGTCCCTCTGTGGACATAGGACCTTCAGTGCTCATGTCCCTCCCTGTGCTCAGCCAGCCCTCGGTCAATTAAAAGAGCAACATTCAACACAATCCAAACTCGTGCCATTGAGCAATTGCAACTTCTGGCCAGCCACCCACATATGTCCCTGTGGTTTTCAATGGCTGTGATCTTTCGCAGTTAGGTTACCAGGCACTTTTGAGCTACATCTCTGTGGAGTCAAACTGTCAGCTTTTCCATTAAGCCACCAGGCACCTGACCATTTGTACCACCCAGGGAGGCTCCAAACCCCACTCCCTGCCATCGAGTCCATGTAGACTCGGAGCCTAAGGATGGTGAACTGTACCTGTGAGTTTCCAAGCCTGCCTGTTTACCAGAGTAGAAAGCCCTGCCTTCCTCCTGAGGAGCAGCTGGTGGTTTTGAACTTCAGACCTCCCAGATCACAACCCAACATATAACCAGTACGCCACCAGGGCTAAGAGCAACCCAAAGCCAGTCAAATAAGAGACTATCAGAGAAATTTGGAGCATTATTGATTTATTAGAAAAACTAGTAAATGGGTTTCCTCTGGTTGGTGGAAGCACATTTGAGCAGGGGAGGACAAGGCCCAACAGACCCCCTGGCCAGCCCAGACCACATCCCGGGCTGCATTCCTTTTATGCTGCCACCTCCCGCCCTCCCTCCCTCCTCCCTCCTCCCTCCTCCCTCCTCCCTGAGCTTGCTTGTTCAAGGACCAAGCCAAGTGGCTCACTGGCCTCTTCCTCCCCTGGGCCTCCACTCCCTTCCCACTGAGGGGAGGAGGGAGATCAGGCTGGCCTAGGGGACCCCCCACACCCCAGTTGCCCTCCACTAGGCAGGAGGGAGGATGGTGTGGTGGGAAGCTGAGCCTGCCACAGTCCATTCATTAGGAGTGGGGGAGGGGGACGGAAGCCCCAGCACCCTCTGGACCTCAGCCAGGGTCGGTGGAGGCCAGAGGACCAAGGAAGGAGGCCTGCCTGTCCCTGCCCGAAGGCGCTTCCTCAGAAACTGCCCTGGGGAGGAAGCCTGTTATATGCTGGTGCAGATTGGAGTGTATCGACCTAGTCGGGGGGAACACTGTTAAAAGAAAAGACGCCAGGATAGAAAACAGCGAGGAGCTCCACCCCAGGGTTGCCCAAAGCTGGCCGGCCACCTGCTGTTTGAGTCCCATTGGTTGAGTGTCTTGGGGCCCGTGCAAAGTGGGAGGGGTGCATGGAGGAGCTGGTTGGTAGGTCACATGCAGCTCTCTGCCCTTGCCCGTCAGGGACTCTGGTGGTGAACTAGCACTTCCATGGGGGCCTTTCCTCAGGACACGCTTCACTATGGGTGTTGCTTTTGCCACGTGGGTCGGGGAGGGTGGTCCCTTGCCTCTTGGTTCGCCCAAGACTACCCCAAGGAAGCAAGCCAAGGGAAATGCTTGCCACCATCTTGCCCTTCAGCAAGCAGCATGCTCTCCACCCCAGAGCATGCCCTTCAATGAATGTACCAAGGACCTTTCTGATTCCGCTAAGCTTTGCGCTCCCCAGGTTTAGAAAGAGGCTGGTGAGTGGCACACACCTGCTTCCGTGTGTTGTGCAGAGGGCTGCAGGGCTGGGGAGCACCTGGCCTGGGGAAGTCAGGCACCGTCAGATAGTGCCTTCCCCACTGTGGCCCCTGTCTGCGGACGTTCGCTTCACCCTGATTCAGCCCACAGCGTGGTGGTGCTCACTGACCTGGGCTGTGCCAATCCATATTAGTTAAGGGGTCTTGGGCCTGCTGGCTCTGTGACTTATACCTGAGCCTGCCCGCTTCCCATTGGATCATCTGGGGGGAAGGGTGGGGTTGTCTAAGACCCCGCCCCCCCCTGGGGGAAGGTGATGGAAACAGCCACTGTGAGCCCCTGCCCTTTCAGGCCCTGGGGACCCTGCTGAAGAGGCCTCCTGCCCCCAACTTGGCTACAGCTGTATTGCTTTCAGGGTGGGGGGGTGGGGGGGTGGACAAGTGGTTTCTCCAGTAGTTTCCTTGGCAGCGTGAAGGAGGGCATGCCTGGTGCTGGACCTGCAGAGCCCCTTTGGGCGAAGGGTTGGGTGATCTCTGCACCCACGTGACCCCCAAGGCCAAGACATGCCATGAGAAGCTCATCAGGGTGTGTCACACCTTGGGGCTCTGGGCCTCGGCATTTGTCCCAGCTGTCTAGTTAGTGGTAGGTCCATCACATGGATGGCAATGCCATCCATCAGGGAGGGGTGATTAGCTTTGCCGTCGGCACAGCCAACACCCTAGGAGAACTGTAGACAGGGCGCCGTGGGCCCTTAACCTTTGAGGTCTTGGCCCGGTGGTCACCTGAAAGGTCATCGCCTTGAACACCGTCTGGAGCAGTTCTGTTTTGCACACCTGGAGTCACCCTGAGTCAAGTGGCAACCAACAACTCCAGGTGGTCGGGGTCCCACCTAGTATCTGGGAGCCTGCACCACCTCCCTAAGGGGCTTTGGATCTGAGTCTTCTGTTGCTGGTTTGGCTGCTCTTGGGGTTTTGGGGTTGAAAAGGGGAGGGTCTTAGGCAGTGTCAAGACTGATCTGCCCCTCCAGGTCTGAGCCCCCAGCCCCAGCTCTGACCTTGAAAGAGGGCTGGTTTTTGAACCCTGACCCTCCTGGTGGGCCGCCGGTAGTGGACGCAAAGGGTGCCGAGGCCACAGGCTGCGCCTTGGCAGTCAGAACACAGAACTTGGAGGGTGCTTTTGGGGGTGGGGGGGTGGGGAGAGAAGTGGGTGGCTCTTGAAGTGAGACCCAATTCTGAGGGAGCCCCCTGGGGAAGAGGCTCCTGGCACCCAAGACCCTGCCTTCTGGCTTGTCCTCTTGTTCTGACCCCAGCAGCGCCTGGCCCGGAACTAGGGCCCCTTGAGTCAACCCCACAGCTCCTTCCCCCAGCCCCAAAAAGGTCGGGGTAGGCCTTTCCCCCTTTCCCTGGGTTGGCGGGCAAGGGCAGGGCGGGATGACCCCAAGGCTTGCTTTGGGAATGGGCAAGGTTTGAGGGACCCCCCCCTTGAGCCTTCTCCAGCTTTTAAAGTGTTGGGGAACTGAGGACCCTCCACTTTGAAGGTGGGGTGGGGGAGGCGGCCCTGTACCATTTCCTGCCCCGGCCCTCCCTTAGGCTCAGCGTGGCCGCATCAGCAGGCTGCCCTTCTCCCCTGGGCCAGAGCTGCTGACGGGTGAGGGGCGGAGGCAGGCTTCTGGAACTGCAGGCAAAGGCAGCTATTTGCAGTGCAGCAGGGACCTGGCCCAGCAGGCGGCAGGCAGCGGTGGGCAGAGGGCAGAGGCTGCCTAGGCGGGTCAGGCCCGCGGGGGGGCCAAGTGTGGCCCTGGCCCTGCACTTGCAGGCGCTCCATGGCTCTCGCTCAGCGTTGCCACCGCTGCCGCCGCCGCCTCCTGCTACTTTTTCTTGGGGAAGAAGCTGAACCTCTTCTCTTTGTCTTTCTTGCCGAGGGTGGCGTCGGTGCCCGCGATGGAGGGCAGGGGCAGGCTCTGCGCCTTGATGCGGATGCTCTGGGACTCATTGATGGCGGTGCTCACGCCCTGCAGCCAGGACAGCATCTCTTCCTGCGGGATTCGAGGGTTGGCCCAGCAGGGGACTCGGGGCATGCTCCCAGGGCTGCCCATTGTGGGGCAGGTGGCTTGGGCCCCTTCCTCCCTCCCACCCCATAGTTAGCCACCTCTGGTCTGAGCAGGCCCCACGTGGCACTTACCTCATCCTTCCCATGGAAGAGCCATTCGCTGCCGTTACTCAGCCTAGGAGGACAGGGTTTACTGTAAGCTGCCATCTCTGGAGGGCTCTACCTCTGTCCATGCCACTTGAGCTGGCCCAATCGCTGAGACCCTCCCAGGCAGCAGGGCACCTCTGAGAGGGGCAACCATTTGCCCCCTTTTCCTAAGAGGCTACTCAGGCCCAGAGCTGCTGGTCTCATATGGGAGGCCCCGCCCTGCCTCCAGCCGGGCAAGTTCAAGGCCTGGGGAAGGGAAGGGCCTCACCTCAGCTTGAAGACGTGTTTTTTCTTCTTGTAGTTGGCAGCAACCTCACAGATGGCATGTCTCAGGGCCAGGGGTTCCTCCCCGTGGTAGGGGACCCCCAGGGCCAGGTTCTTGGCATCTTTGTAGAAGGTCAACTCGCTGTTCCTGAGCACGCAGTACAGGTTGTTCCAGGACCTGGCAAGCAGCAGACAAGACACGTCACCCACATCCCTGGTACCGATCCATTCCAATTCATGGTGACCCCGCGTGTGTCAGAGTAGAACTGTGCTCCAGGGGCCTTCCAATGGCTGATGCTTCAGAAGGACCTTGCCAGACCTCCTGTGAGGCACTACAGGGTGAGCTCGAACCTCCGAGCTCTTGACTGGCACCCAAGTGCACTCACTGCCCCACGCACGGGCTCGAGCCTCCTGTGGTCACGTCATGCCTCCCTGTTTTCATTGCATCATATTCTCCCTGATATTTATAACCCGTTTTACTGTCAGGCAAATAAATACAAAAAGAAGAACCATCTGTGAGTAATTAGGCCACCCAAAGCCACTATTTTCCACAGACATTTGAAGCTCTTACAGTTCCCTCGTCCACACGCACAGCGACACTGGATCGTCCTGCGCATTCACTTTACAGCCTGCTTTCAAGCTTGACCCCATGCCAGGGGTATTTCCCACATCCGCAAATGTCCCTTGAAGGAAATCCTGAGCAGTTGTATGCTAGACAAATCGTGAGGTATATAAACCAATGTATAAATCATCTATAAACCAATCCTTCGGACCAAATCAGACTCCCTGCCACTGAGTCAATTCTGACTCATAGCGACCCTACACTCCAGCAAAAAATGACATTACAATTTAAATAACAACGTATATATACATATAAATTTGAACTCGGTTCTGGGAGTAAAATGACTGAATCCAAGACCACAGTACCAGCCTCGCTTTTCAGGCATGCCCACATCATCGGCTTCTTTGACCCCTCCCTGAGTTCTGTTAAGTGAAACGAGCAGGGTTTTGTCTGTTGTTGTTTTGATCCCGTCAGCCCAGTGTACTGGGCAGTTTCTAGGAAGCACATTTGTGCAAATCTAGGCTCATCTCTTGGCATATTTGGTGGGAACAATATGCTCATAAACCAACCTGTGGGCGACTCTGAGCTGCTTCCCTGACCTGGGAAACAGGTCTTGGCATTTTTATAGCAGCAAGCACTGAGAAACATGAGACTTCCCTGCTTTCTCCTCCCTGTTGAGGGCAGGGAGGTGAGTCAGAAGGACACAGAGAGAAAGTACCGGAAGGTCAGAGAATGAACCCAAGCCATGTAAAGCTGACTGCAGAGCCTTCTAAGATGGCTCAATTGCTGACTCCCTCTTCACTAGCTTATAGCTCAAGTAAGGTGGCACCTAGGTTAAGAAGCCTGGGACTTTGGCGTAAAATCCTTCCCTCCCACAAAGGACCACCTCTCGGAGGTGGTTTCCCACATGGAGACCTCAATAGAGCGTCGTTGTGAAGATTGTATCAGTCATCATACATGGGAAGCCCCTGATATAGTGCCTGGCATATAGTAGATGCCCAATAATTGTGAGCCCCTTTTCCCTGGTGGCCTCTCCTTGGGGCAAGAAACCTCTCTAGGTTGTCTGGTGGCATAGTGGCTTTGAGTTGGGCTGCAATTCACAAGGTCAGTAGTTCAAAGCCACGAGCCTCTCTGGGAGAAAGATGAGACTTTCTACTCCTGTATAGAGTTACAGTCTCAGAATCCCACAGAGGCAGTTCTACTCTGTCCTACAGGGTCGTGAGTCCACATTGGCTCGATGGTGAGTTGGGGTTTGGAGGGTGCTTGGGTTCCCAACTTTGGAAGGAATTTGAAATGGCTTCAGGGAGTCTGCCCTGATCTGTTCTGTCATGTAGCCTTGGGGCTCTGCCTGGCTCCCCCTCCTGAAGCTGCCCCATTTCCCTGGCTATGCCTGCAGGCCCTTCCAAGTCCAGGTGAGGCAGCCCTGGATAGACCGAACCCAAGGACACGGCATCCCCATCTCACAAAGGAGGAAGCTAACCTCGAGGCTGCGTACCTGGGATGCTGGCCTGGAACTGAAGGAAAGTGGCCATCTCCTATCCCACCACACCACCCCCACCGAGAGGGCTGCTCGGGAGCTCTCCCAGTCGAGAGGCAGAGGCCACCCTCCCCCAACACCTACCCACTCCTGAGGGTGGAGGGTTCCCCAGGAGCCACCCTCCCCACCTGATGCTACCACCCGCCCACACAGACCTGTTGGACGCCTTCTTGTTGGGCCCTTCCAGGTCATGTTTGCGGCCCAGGTAGCCCTCCATCTGCACGCTGTGCCCGTGGTCCCGCTGCCCAGGCAGTGTCGTGGGCTCATCGCCTTCACTCAGAGGGGTGTCCAGGACCTTAAAGTGAGGCTCTGTGGGGGGCCTCTCCTCGCCTGGCTTCTCCTCCTGGCAGCCCGGCAGCCCCCGAGGTGGTGGCGGCTGCAGCCCCTGAGTGCCCGGCCTTGCGTCTTCCCCCTGCTCGGGCACAAGGGAAAAGCACACCTCGCTGGGGGCTCGGGCCCAGGGAAGGGCCTTATTAGAAAAGCTGGGGAGTCAGCAGACTCCTGGAGGCCTCCCTGGGCCCCACCTGATCCCAGCACCCCCTGCCCAGCCTGGTGGCTTCCCTAGACACTACACATGCTTGGCTCCCTCCCCACCCCCCGAGGGTGGTAGGGTGGCTCTCTCTCCCTCTGACAGCTGGAGGAGCCTGGGGGATTATGTGGCCATCCTGGAGTTGTCACGACCCCGTGCGGGTCAGAGTGGAACTGTGCTCCACAGCGTCTTCAGTGGCTGGGTTTTCCGAAGTAGATCTCCAGGCCTGTCTTCCCAAGTGCATCTGGGTTGGGGAGAATCACCAAGCCATCACCCAGGGACTCCCACGACCCCAGCCCAGCACTGCCTGGCTTCCGGCCCTCCTCCCTGCCTCCGCCAGCTGCTCTGCCTTCAGCTGCATTATGGTTGGGGCGCCAGCAAGATTTCACATGGACACAGGGTTCTGAGGTGAAGGAGATTTGAAAACCACGTGCACTGGGATGCTGAAGGGGGTGGCTCTTTCCTTATCTTCAGAGTGTGGCAATGGCCTTCCTGCTAAAGGCAGGCTCTAGGCCACATGTCCCCCTGCCCGCAGGCTGTCTGCTGGGCTACCTGCCCTGGCCCCACCACTGGATGGGAATTTGTGGGTGTGAAGCAGTGGTCCCTGACCCTGGCCGACATTTACAGACACCTGGCGAGTTTACAGGAATATTCCCAGGCCCCACCCCCGAGGTGCTGAATGCACAGGTCTGGAGCTGGTTATTTCTTAACGAGCTTTTCATGTGGCTCAGGTGCAGTGAGGGGAAATGCTATGCTTTTACCTCCCCACACCTGCCCGTGGGAAGAGGGTGGGGCGACCTTCCCCCGCCCGGAAGCCACGTGATGGGCCCCCAAGGCCAGGGAGCCGCTCGCTGTCTCCATAGGCACCCACAGGAAGGAGAAGCAGGCCTCCTGAGCCCTGCTGGGCCAGGGGAAAGGTAGGGGTGAGTTTCCCATGGGCCCAAGGGACGTCCAGGAAGGTAGCCTGCTCTGAGCCATCTGGCCAGAAACCTCCAAAGGCCCCACTGCTGGAGGGAGGGTTCACCAGGCCCCTGCGTTGGCTGGCCGGGCAGGGACACCTACCGGACCAGGGGAATCCACAGCACAGGCCTCTCCACCCTGCCTTACGCCGGGAGGCCCAGAGCCACACGGAGGATGAAGGACCTGGGGGAGCAGAGCATGGCCTTCAGACCTGAGACCAGAGTGAATGAGAGGAGGTGCTGGGGACCATGGAGGACCCTCGGATCGAGGGTTTCAACCAAAACAGACCAGGCAGACTTTGCCAGCCTGAATGTGGCCTGGTTCAGCATGAGATGGTGCTAGGAACAGGAGGGGAGCGTCCGGCGAAAGGTGTGAAGGTCTGTAGGAAGAAGGACAAAGCCGGTCATTGGCACTGCCAGCGAGCGTGTTGGACTGCGAGCCAGAAGGTTGGTGGTTCAAGTCCACCAGCTGCTCTGTGGGGAAAGGCTGAATCTGCTCCTTTAAAGTTGTACCAAGGCTCAGAGCCACTATGTAGCTCACTCTGAGTTGGCATTGACTCGATGGCAGCGGGGTGGGTTTGATTTGGATCAAATTCGTTTCATGTCAGGGAAAGCTGGAAAACACCCTCCTGCTACAACGAGGAAGCCAAGGCCCAGAGAGGTTGAATGATTTGCCCAAGGTCACACAGCTGAGAGGTATCGGAGGCAATTAGGAGGAGGCATTCCAGGGCTGGGCAAGAGGGAAGGCTGCCGCCTTCCTCTCGGGGTATGTTACAGTACTGGCATCTTGAGAGTCTGCTATGAGCCTGCATCGCTCCGAAAGCTCCAAAGCTCGGCCGGCCTCCACCTCCAGCAGGGAGGTCAGATGGGGGTTAGCACGGGGCAGGGAGCCTGGGTTCTGTGGACCAGGTCAGGCCAACCCTCACACTTGAGTAGAAAGCTTGGGAGGTGGATTAATGCAGAAATGGAGGACCTGGTACGTAGTTTGAAACCAACAGCCACTTCTAGGGAGAAAGACAAGGGTTTCTCCTCCTGTAAAGAGTTATAGTCTCAGAAACCCACAGCGGCAATTCTGCCCTGTCCTATAGGGTCACTGTGAGTCGGAATCCACTTTATGGCAGGGGTGTGTGTGCCATTTCTTACCTCTCAGTTCCAGTCTCAAGCCCAAAGCTGGGCCTGTTCTTCCTCCGGGAGAGGAGGCCTTTCAAAGAACTGGGCTAAGCTGCACTGCTCCTCTGGTGACCGGCCAGTGTCCCCGCTACTGCGCCAAAGCCGAGAAACCCCAGACCCTCAACAGGGTTTGCCCCTCTCCGCGGGCCCCCCGCCTCCGGAGACTGGCCTGGTGTCACTTTCGTCTCACTGTCCTTCCTCCCCAAATAGAGATGGCTTCCATGCAGGCCTGCTGCACTCTTTAATCCCACTGTCCTGTTTCCAGGTCATGGGTGTGTGGACATCCAGAGGACATGGCCACTGTCATCAGAAGTCATGTGCCTGGCCCTTAAATTGCCTTTGGAAGACAAAGGTTTGCCAGTATCCGCAGAGATTTCGTTTCTGCCCGATGGTCCACCTGCCAAACCCACTGTGCCTCGCAATCCTGTAGGACAGAGTAGAAGTGCCTCTGTGGGTGTCCAAGACTTTAAATTTTTATTTAGCCTCATCTTTCTCCCAAAGAAAATCTGGTGGGTTTGAACTGCTGACTTTGTGGGTAGCAGCACATTGCATAACCCACGGCACTACCAGAGTTCCTAGGCTGTCCAGAGAGATATATCCTGGGGAGGAGCCCAGAAGGAGACTGGGAGGTGGAGCGGGCTGTTAGGACCTCCCTCCTCCCAGGGTGAAGGAGGGAGCACAGGTGACAAAGGGTAGAAGTGGGTGGGATGCAAGAGAGGAGGGATGGGACGGGGCTTCTGAGTCTCGCCTCAGCTCCTGAGGGAGGTGGGTCACATCCCTGGGGAAGGCGGTGGAGAGACGCGCGCAGTTGGTGGGTGACACCCACTGGATTCCCAGGCAAAAGCCAGACCCTGCCCTTCCCAGGACCCAAAGCCCAGGGGTTGGGCCAGATAGGTATGTAGTGAAGCCCCTGGTCCCCCATTTGGGGGCAGGGGGGCCTTGGGAAAGTCACACAACCTTCCAGCATCTATTTTCATCGACACAAGTGGGAACAAGCAGCACCCGTACCTCTGCCACAGGTGGTCGGGATCAATTTAAAAAGGATGCTGCCTGTAGATGGTGCTCTAATTGTGATCCTCTCCCCACCTCCTGCCAGCCCCGAAGGCAGGCTGACTGTGGCCAGTGCCCTATGTGGCCAGTGTGACAATTCCAAGCACCCCTTGGTCCTTGGAATAGGGGACACTCGAGAGAGACTGAGACATGGAGAAGCGAGAAGCTCAGCCATTGGCAGGCCAGGTTTCAGCCCCAGCCATCCCCGGCCATTTTCAGGTGGAACATTCTGAGGCTTGGCCAGGGAATGGGAAGCCAGGTGAGCAAACCTGCCCTGGAGCCCTCCCCGAAATCCAGGGCTGGGAGGGGGTGGGGGGTGGGGTCTGAGGTCAAGGGGCCCAGAGGTAAAGGGCAGAATCGTCCTGACAGGGCTGGGGCCAGCACTGAATTGCTGGGACTTCACAGGTAGGTTTTTTGTTTTAAAAAATCTCACAACTTTGTCAAGTGAAGACTTTACAGAAGACGTTTATCAAGCTGGCCCAGCCCTTTTATGAAGCAGAAACATTTTTTAAAAAGAGGTTCCATGGGAGTTCTGGTCTGCCTAGGCAAAGGGGGCATGGTTGTGGGGAGCGAGGTGGAAGAGGCCAATTTTCGCACAGCCTGCCTGCCTCGGGGTGAGCCCACCCAGAGGCTGCCGTGCGGAGCTGTTTTGCAGCTCATAACAGGAAAGCGAGTCCTCCTGAAACATCTCCCGGGGCCTGTATTTCTAGCCAAAGGAGCCCTGGTGGCATAGTTCCTTGGTCACAGGAACTGTGACAAACTGTGACAAAGCACCAGGTCCGTGCTTTGAATCCATGGGGGAAAGATGGGTCGGTCTGCTCCCATCAAGATTTAGTCTGGGAAACCCAACGGAGCAGTTCTGCTCCGTCCAGTAGGGTCACTGTGAGTCGGAACCCACTGGGTGACGCTGAGCGATTTGTTTTGCTTTGGGTATTTCTAGCCAGGCCACTGGGAGGGGAGTGCTGGTAGACTCTCCAGCCGGGCCTTAATAGGCCATAAGCACTCCGGGGGTGGGGGGGGGCGGGGGTGGGGGTGGGTTGGTTGGGAGCAGATGAAGGCAATGGTTCAGAATCAACTCGGAATTCTGGAGCCTGAAAGGAGCTGTGGGGCCATGGGGCTCAGACCCTGTAGTTATAGATGGTCCCGAAAAGCGTGGCGCTCGACTAGGGTCACCCAGCAAGCTAGCAGTTGAGCTGCAGCAAGATCCCAGGCTTCCACGTCTCTGTCCCAGCTTGAAAACCAGGCATCACGGGACAGCTGGCAGGGGTGGGTGGACACTCAACTTGGAAAAGGTACAGAGGTGGCTGAGCGGCCCTGACAGAGATCAGTTTGTGACCTGGGGTGTTTGGGGCCCCGACTTCAAACCTATTGGCAGAGTGAGTGCAACCCAATTGGGGGGGGGGCACGGTTTGTGTGGACTTCTAAGGGAGGCCTGGGGCAAGAGGGGTCTCCTGCTGCCCCTGGAGCTACACCTGCTGTAGAATTTGGAAAGTCTTTAGGGCGCAGGGAGGGGGGCGCTGAGCTGTGGATGCAGGGCCCCTGGGCTCCACCAGAACCCTCTTGGTAGATGAGCTAGTCTGAGCCTCCCTGCTGCTTTCGCCCACAGGCCATAAGGAGGTGGCACAGATGGACCTCCACAGCTGGGGACACATGGAAAGAAGGGCCCCAGGTACTTGGAAGAAACTGAGAGGCAGTGGAGTCTGGGCCTTAGTGGGGGTGGGGTGTGGGGTGTAGGATGTAGCATGAGGCAGGCATTGTCTGCTGGTGCTCTGGTGTGGGGAGGCAGGGAGAGGAGGTGTCTGGGAGGAGGGTGTGTGTCCTGGCTGCTGGATCATGTTAGAGGAGGGCAGGGGACAAACAGCATCAGGTGGAGGTTGAGGGAAAGACAGGGCATGTCCAGGAAGCCTTGTAGGCTCTCCCAGGATAGTAATCCCCCAGGGAGAGACCCCAAGACCCCGGTGGGCAGGGGATGGTTGCCTCAGAGTCTGGGAGAGGGAACTTAGAAGCTTAACTTCTTAGGGCCCTACCTTGCTCAGAACCTGCTTGGACCTGGGGGTTAGGAAAGGGGGTGGGATCTCTGCCACAGAGGAATAGGAGATGGGCAAAACAAAGTCGATTACAACTCATGGAGACGCTATAGGGTAGAGTAGAACTGCCCCTGTGGCTTCCTGAGACTGTTAAGTGTTTATGGGAGTAGGAAGCCCCAGCTTTCTCCCACAGAGGCAGAGCGTACATTTCTTTTCAAAACTAAAGGAATTGGAGGTGTACTTCCAGACGTAGCCAGCAGGTGTCAGAGGGGACAGCACACAGGCAATGAGCTCTTGAGGATCCCAGGAGAAAAATAACTGTGTGGGTCACAGGAGTCTTCTGGGTGCTGTAGAAGATTGACATTCCGAGGAGCCAGATAACACGTGCAAGCCATGGGCTATGAGCAGCTGGTGCCCCTCTTTACTCTAAAGGTAGTTCTGGTAAGAGAGACCCAGAGCATTGGGATGCACCTACAACCAGACTGTGAGATCCCAACAGTGTGATGATCTTGCCACAAACCACACAGCGAGGCCTGAGCCAAGTGTCTTAGAGTCTCAAGATAAGGATGGTTTGGGAGGGCTTGGTCAACCTATCGATGGAAATTAGGGTTCATATGGAAGATGTTTCTTTTCTTTTAAGATGTTTAAAAGATGAACTAATTAAAAAAAAAAAAAGAGTAGACAACAAAACGCCCAAGACCAGACTACATAGATGGTGCCTGGCTACTACCACCAACTGCTCTCAAGAGAAGTGGACTGGGGTGGTCCAGAGGTTCCACCTCCTACCTAGGGGATGCAGGGAAAAGGTCACCAGGTAAAGAGGAGGAGTGCAGTGGCAGGGGAGCAGGAACTCTAGAAGCCTGGCCAGCTCCATCGCTAGTGAGAGGAGCAGGTGGCTTCCTCGGGAGCTCTTGTCCCCAACCTGCCTTGGAGGGGAGCTGGCAGCTGTTGGGCATCTTGGTGATGTGAGTTGCCACTTACCATTAGGGAGAGGTCACTGCCTCTGACTCAATTCTGACTTACAGCGACCCTGTCAGGGTAGAACTGCCCCTGTGAGTGCTAAGACTGTAACTCTTTATGGGAGTAGAAAGCCTTGTCTTCAGAAGATCTGGCTGGTGGTTTCAAACTGCTGACCTTGCGGTTAGCAGCCTTCTGCCCTGCTCAGACTTGATGCTCTGGCCCCAATGCAGCCCGATGTGTAACCATTACTCCATCAGGGCTCCCCCAGGGGCACTTAAGAGAGTTAAAAGACACCCACTTGCACGCAAAGGTCAAACTGACAAACTTCAAGCTTCCTTTCCCAGATGCTTACAATATTAACGGAGCATGGCCTTGGGATACTTTGAAACATACGCTGAAACAGAGTTTGAAAGAAGGAATTTAGGTGGAATCTCGGAAGCGGCTCATAGTCTACAGGATGGCGCAGAACTACCTCTCTGGGTTTCTGAAATTGTAACTCCTTATTTGCGGAGGAAGCTTGTGGGTCGTCTGGTAGGGTCGAACTGTTAACCTTGTAGTTAACAGCCCAACGCCTAACCACTAGTGAGCTTGGATTTTGTTTGATTTCTCTGAATCAGAGAGGCCTGAGCATCAAGTCTGAGCATGGCAGAGGGCTGGACCTGCTGTGGGCTGATGTCCACAAAGAACCTGGGGCAGTTTCAGGGGTGGGGTGGGGCACGTGGCTGGAGCACCAGGCTAGGGCCAGCCTGTATAGGCAGACCCGCCGGCCACACTGACTCAGGCACCCTGGGGAGACGGGGACACACCCAGGTTGGAGGGAAACTGACATTCTTTCCCAGCTGGGCCTGTCCTACCCAAACAAGCGATTTGCTTTTGCTGCAAAATGCCTGAACTGGCAGCTCAGATGGGACTCATGGAGGGGTGGGAGTGGTGGGAGGGCGGGGGAAGCGTGTTCCTGCAAGGAGAAACTAGCTGCTGTGGACACACCCACAGCCCTTCTGACTGGGACTTTGACACTGCTGATGAAAGCCCTGGGCTGCCTGCCGGGGTGGGAGGGGATTTACAGGAGGGAGGGGCGCGGGCAGCTGGATCCAACCAGGCTGGGAAGACAGGAGGTCCTGACTGCAGGTCTCAGGGAAGGCTGTCAGGGGGCACTGGCCCTACCCTGGTGACTTCCCTGAAATCACAGCCTCTCAGTTCTTGGGAAAGCGAGGCAAGGGTCCTGGAATCTTATTCCCCAAGGAGACGCCAGTCCCAGCTGGGGACACCACTCTTGGGGGATTGGATGCAGGGGTGGCATCTGAGAGCTGCCCCTGACTGAGAGTCTTCCCTGACAGTCAGATGAAGGGATGCTGACAATTCTTCTTGGAGGGGCTCCGAATTCCAGGTTCTCCCTGCCCAGGTTGTGCCCTGATTCAGGGCTTGGAGGCAGGACAGGGCATGCTAACCCCAAACCAGAGCCCCATGGCAACTCTTATTACAGCACCAACTGTCATCACAGAAGCCCCGCCCGCTGAGCTCACGGGACAAGTCCTGCTGTCCACCTCAAAGTCAAGACATGGGTGGGGAGTGCAGACAGATGGCCCAGGGGCTTTAGCCTGTGATGACCCGGGTCCCTTTCAGTAACCTTTTTTTCTCCATCAGAGGAGCCTCCTCCCTGGCAGGGTACCCTGGGAATTCTGAGGCCCCAGAGCACGAAGCTGAAGGCTGCTCAGCTTGGCCACCCTGAGAGGTAAGGAGGTTCCAGGGTTGGGCACGTCTGCCTGCTCACTGACCATTCAGCCTGCTGCCAGTCCCAGCAACCCCGTCTTCAGGACACTGGACTTGGAGGAACCAAACAGGAGGGGGCTTTGACTGTCCAGGAGGCCCTGGGGACTGTAGTTGGGTGCAGATAGGTCCCAGTGAACTCAGACGTCCAGACTTGGACTTCGGGAGGCCTGCCTTTTCCATACTGGTTCACTTACCTAGACGCAGGGACAGGCTCTCGTGTGGAAAGGGAAGGGGTGAGGAGACACGTGAACGGCTTACACAAATGATGTTTGAGGAAGATAACACAGATGCAGGAATGACAGCCCTGCTCACGGCGTGTCCACACACACGTGCATGCACACGCGCAAGGGGCGGGCTGGACTGCTTGTATAAAGATGTCCAGACGGGCAGGGGCAGCCAGGCCATTGCCCTCGGTTCTCCCAAGCAGGAAGCCAGCATGCACTAGTGATGGTTTTCACATGAAGCAACACCACATGGATCTAATCTATGGGGTACAGACCACACACATGGGACCAGCAGGAGAGCCACCCGGAGCCCAGGCTTGTCCCAGCGAGAAGGCACGGCGTTGCTGGGAGAGGCCTGTGGTTTTGGAAAGCAGCAGTGCCAGGCTGGATCTGTGAGGCGGTTGCTAAGCTCCACTGGGCCTGTGGGGCCTGTGACCTGCGTGGGCCTCAGACTGCCTTTTCTCCTGGCAACTGCAGACTGGCATCAGACACACCCTTGGAGGGTGGTGGGTGTTCGTGAAAGCTCAACAGAGGGTTCAGAGGGAGCCACAGGACACGCTTCTGGGTAGCAGCCCTGCCAGTGCTGAGACTCCGGGAAAGTTTTATGCGTGAGCTCGCACCCTCCTAGAGACACACTCTGGTCCAAACAGGTTTTATTTCCCCAACCCAGTGATGTGCGGGCGGCTCTGATGCACATGTAGTTACATTTGCACGAACATACACAACATGATGGATGGAGCTGCTTGGGTGACTACAAAGGGGCCCGCAGACCGGGGACATCATTGCACACAGACACACAGGGGTGGGTGGTGGGGGGTGTTTGCATGGAAGCGCAGGCAGGACAGGAGGCAGGCAGGCAGCCTGGCTCATGTCTTATCCGCAGTCTCTGCTAGCCCCCAGAATTCACGCTCTTTCCAGCAGCGGCTGTTACTGGGGCAAGCAGGCTGGGATGATGTGGTCCACTCCAGACAGGGCGTGTGACCCCCACGTGCAACCGTGGGCGCTTCAGCGGGAGCCCAACAGCGCCCTCTGCGGGGCAGGCTGGGCTGGTGCAGCTCAGAGAGGGTGGCCTCTCCTTGTGTCTTGCTCTCCGAAAGATGGCCAGGGCTGATTCTATGCATCGGTGTATTTTTCCATAGGTGTACCAGCTCTTTCCATTTAGAATACCATTCTCCCCAGTTCCTCATGCACAAGTCCATGCAAGCTCCCCTGGCCCCTGTCTGGCTGGAGTACAGGACTTGCTACTCACTATATCTGGGGATCCCCCCGCCCCCTTCCATATGGCAGGTAGCAAGGGGGCATGCAGGGGCGATGTCAGGCAAGGTGCTTGTGGAATCCTCAGGTGGCTCTTTCCCAGGGCGTCCCCCCACCGCCCCCAAACTTCCCAGATTTCCTGCCTCCCACAGCACCTCAACAGTCCCCCTTTTCCTACCTACTGGGGAACTAGCCCCCACAGCCGAGAAGCCCCAGGGTTCTTCCTCACACTGCAGGGCCCCCTCAGGTCTGTTCTTGCCCACGGCATCAGGCCAGCATGGGGTGGGGAGTGGCCTTTGCATGGGAGGAAGGGGCCTGCTGAAGAGCTGGCAGGGTGTGTCCCAAGCCCAACACTTCATTGCTCACAATGCCCTGGATGGGGCAGGTGGGGCCATGCTGTATGTATCTGTGGAAGTGTGAGAGCCTGTGCGTGCGCACATGGGGTCAGGGCTGTGTGTTACAATGGGGTTAAGCATAAAACAGGGAGAAGGACAGTGTATAAAAACGAATCCTCCCTGTACAAACGGTTCCCCTAGTATAGCTGGTGATGTATTTATACAATAGAATTTATTAGACTAGAGAAAAACCAAACTGTGAGTCGTGTCAGTGGGCTGGCATGTCAGTTTCTTCTGGGTTGACAGGGGTAGGAGATTATTTTAAGAAAGAAGCCAACCTAAGTAAAAGGCCCTGAGCAGGCGCAGCACAGCTGGGCACCCGGCCGTCACCCTGGCTGAGCCTAGTAGGGATGGGCAGGCTCTGGCAGCAGCGACTCCCAGGAACCAGACAGACGGGAGAGGAAACTGACCGGGGACGTTCTCTCGGTGGCTGCGCGGTCGGGAGCTCGGGGAGCCTCCCCTGCTGTCTCGCCTTCTTCCTCTTGTGCCCTAAGGAAGACAGCCCCTCTTTACACCCGGACCCCACCCTGCGGCCCAGGCTTACCTCCAGGGGTGACCTAGCCTCTCCCCTGGGGGCCATGCGCTGTTTCCGGGCAGCGAGGCTCCTGGAAGGTGCTCAGCAGGAAGCGATCAGGTTGGATGCGCTGAGGAGCAGGGAGCCAGCACGTGCACAGGCCCGGCCTTCCCCTTTGTTCCCGTGAGATTTTTTTGAGAAACACTCGCTCATCCCTGATATCAAGCCCTAGAGGCCACGGGCCGGGCCCGGTTGGGAGCCGTTGAAGCTGTTTCTCATTAAAAATACCCATCGCCTCCCCCTCCGTAGGATCCTGAGTCGCAGACTCTACTGAGCGGCCGGCCGGCACTCACCCTGTCTCTTCCGCGAGTCTCTCTGGCGTCTGGCGTTCTTTCAGCTCGAGCTAGAGGAGCAAAGGGTGAGGGTCAGGGCAGATTCAGAAAGAGTAGTTCTCCAAAACTGCAGCCTCAACGCATCTCCGTGTGTTCCTTTTTGAGTTATCCCCTTTGGTCTTTTAGTAGCCACCCCTCCCCACTTGCCAATACTCACGGCCAGGATGATCCTAACTCAACGTGACCCTACAGGATGGGTTAACCTGCTCATGTGGCAGTGGTTCTCAACCTTCCTAATGCCTTGACCCTTTCAGACAGTTCCTCATGTGGTGGTGACCCCCAACCAGAAAATTCTTTTTGTTGTTACTGTATGGCCGGATCAATACCAGGCTGGCTTCTAGCAACAAGTGACCTTGAATCTCCCACACACACCTGCGGAGCTGACCAGAGCTGGCTAATGGCCCGCTTTGTTCTTGACCTGCCCTGGTAGCTCCACACTGCTGACCCTGTGGTGAACGGCCCAACAACAAATAACCCCTAGCCCACCAGGGCTCCTATCGAGCCTCATCCAGGAGCTCCAAAAATGGGATGAAAAGCTCACGAGCTTCTCCATAAACTTTTGAAGCCCCCCTCGCATACCACCTGTAGAAGGCTAAGAGATAACCTGCTAAGAGTTTGGGCCTGTGGCACCTCCCCATCTGCCCGGCGGCCCTGCAGGGCCACCCTGCTCACCGTCGTGGGCTTTTCCAGGGCAGCGAAGCGCTCTGCCCAACTGGTTGTGGACTTCTCAAATGCCTCGTGCCTCTTAATGAGCTTCTCCACGCTGTCCACCGTGTGGCCAAAGTCCCGGCTCGCCAGGTAGGGCTCCTGGGCAATCAGCCATGCTTCGGCCACAGAGGCGTCTCGAGAGAACTGACACACCTCCAGCACTGCAGGGGAGAAAAAGCCCCAGAGCCACACAGGGGGGCCCAGGGGTTAGTGAGCATATGACCTCTGGCTAGGAGCCAGTGGCAGCCAGGCGGAGGACTTGCACGGGTGGCCCTAAACCTGTGGCCTGCTGGCAGAGGCTACTCAGACCGCACACTGGCTCCCTCCCAGTCTCCATCGAGGGTCCTCCCACCCTTGGCTGATCCCCCTGAGGGTGCACAATGGCCCGGCCCTCTTCGGCTCCCACACCTGGGCCCCTCCCCAGACCACAGTGCTGAAGGCGTGGGGGATGGGCAGGGAGCCAGGCATGCGGGCTGACAGGTGAGCTGCCAGCAGCAAGGTGCCTTGGCCTTTAGGTGGGCCTCAGAGGCTCTGTGAGGAGGGGCAGGGGTAGACTCCCACAGTAGTGTCCTTCCTCCTCCTGGCTCCCTTCCAGGGCTGCAACTCACACAGGCAGAGCCGCTCCCAGCGAGCATCCCACTTCTCGTTCATCTCCTTCCGCCGGGACACCACCTGCCGAAGCTTCTCCTGGATCTGTGTGAGAGAAGGGAGGACAGCTGAGCCTGGGTGACCCCTTCCCCTGCCGAGGCAGCGTGGATGTCCATGGTACGGGAAAACAGGCTGGACTTGCTCACAGGAGCCTGGTTTCAGCCTTGGCCCTCCACTTGCCAGCGCTGTGCGGCCTTGGGTAAGTTACTTCACCTCTCTGGGGATGGCCAAGTCCAAAGCATGCACACGGGATTAGGAGCCCCACCCCCATGCCCAAGTGGCCAGCTTCTTGAGGCAGGGGGCTGGTTCTGTGT